GTGATGTCGTCTAGGAGGAGAGAAAGAGAATCAAGAAGATGGGTGGTGCTGGTGCCTGGGTTATCTAAGTCTGGGATGTCGTCGAGGACTCAAGGAGGACAATCAAGGTTATTGGGCCATCGTGGTGGTTGCCAGGGCCTAGACTTGCGATGGCGGTGGTGTTGGGGTCAAGGTTCTAAAAAACGCTAGGCGCTAGTCGGGCGGCGAGCTAGCGCCTAGCGCCTAGGCGGCTAGGCGAGATCTAGGCGGCCTAGGTGGATTTAGGTTAATTTCTTGTATATCTTGTAAATAAATGCATGTTGACATATAAAAAAATTATACTTGTATGAAATTCATGGATAAGATAATAAAAGAATGATAAAATACAAAAAGAATATCCAACAAGTCTAAAATTTAAAAAAACATTAAGCATATATGCCATATAACTTAAGATATTTTGAATGATTATATCTAATTTTTTTTTAAAAATAAAAGTAAAAATCTGACATAGTGGGTTGGGCGGTTCATAATAAAACTACTAAGAAGCCGTACTAGTCATCCCTTAACGAAACCACGCCCATTGATATCGTCCGCGAAATCCTCTCTTTTATTTATGATTTTATTGGTGTCCCACTTTGAACTTTGGAGCCAAAACCGGTCATAGCATGAATATTTTATTTATAATTTTATCTGAATTGGTGACACTTTGAGCTTTGGAGCACAAAAACCGGTCAGATCCTTCCCTATTTCATATCAACCGGTCCCATCTCTCTCTCACTTCTCTCACAGCTTCTCTCTCTCTCTGACACACACACCCAAGTTCCCATGCACTATCCACTCCCTCACGTCACTCACACATCACCATCATTTTTGTTTCTGAAAACCGGTTCTCTCTTCTCTCTCTCTCTCTTTCTCCCTCTTTTTGTTCGAACTCTCTGCCTTCTTTCTAAACCACCATAGCCAAAGAGAGCTCCAGGCACCATCACCACAAATTCCAATTAAATCGAGACCCCAAACCACCAAATACAAGACCTGCGCAACTTGGGGATCCCTATGGTACCTTTGCATGTTAAATTCTGTGATGGAAAGTAGAAGAGTTGCTCTAATGGAATCGAACTACAACCTTTGAAAATTGAGCTTCTGGCGTGGAGCTCCGGCGAGGGACCCGTCGAACTTGGCCCATGAGCTCGAGTTAGTCCCGTTAGAAACTCAGGTAGCTTAACCCATGCTCTGCATGTTAATTTCAAGTTTAAATTCGAGTTTGTGATTTTGGGTTTCTGTTTGGAATTTCTTCCCAGGAAACCGTTTCACTCCGCCTAGACAGCCGCCTAAGAACGCCTAGGCGAGCGCCTAACAGCTCCCCGATTTTTCTTAACTATTCTTTCCTAATCGCCTCGGCACACCTCCGCCTAGCGCCTAGGCACCGCCTAGGCCGATTTTTAGAACACTGGTTAGGGTGGTGGAGGAGATGAATGATGGAGAATGACGAAGTGTGGGTGGAACCGTGGAGGGGAGGGGATAATGCATGCGAGAAAGAATCGATTGAGGACTCGAGTGACATAGTTTGTAATAAGAGAGAAGACCTATGGTAAAACTAACGGGCAAGATTGGATGGTATGTTACTCTTCAATCTCGGGCAAGATTGGATGGTATGTTACTCTTCAATCTCATCCGTCCATTGCAATTACAAACAGGCCGGTCCGGGGCCCTGTTTTTCTATACATCTGGAACCGGCCCACCCCTAAAATGTTATCGCCCCACCCCACCTTGTTTCTCTTATTAAAAAATTAGAATCGACTCGTACCCGCCTCGAACCTTGATTATTTGCCCTGACCCGTGGTTTCTATACTCGTTTGCCCACCCCTATGTCCAAGCCTTGCATTTTCTTTCATTTTTCAATTTTTATTTATTTATTTAAATATTATTTAAAGATATATTAGAGTTATTTAAAACAAAATATATTAGAGTTATTTTGGGAATAATGGTGGGTGAGAAAATAACATTTTAGTTTTTTAACTTTTTATAGTGGGTGAGATTATCATGTGGGTGGGAAAATAAGATATTGGAGTTGATCTCGTAACACTCATTTAATATTTGGCCAGGTCGGTTGGAGACAGCCTATGATATTCGATGAAGGAGAAAGAGCTTGAGTGAGTTATGGAGAATATGAAGATTACGATATTTTCTACGTGAAGCTTCCCATCCCATGTTGATATTTTATTTATAGGTATTAAGATTAAGGTTGAAAAAAAAATTAATTATGGTTTTTTGTCTTAAAAAAATTAATTATGTGAGTAAGTAAGATTAAGGATGAAAAAAGGAATCTGACTAGAAATGAGATTCTCATAAAACGCCATACACAAAGCAAGATATATGCTTAAGGTTTCCAAAAGAAATGCTCAAAATTTTAAAGTTATCCACTCTCTTCGTGTCCAATTCTTATTGTATACGAAAATTACCAAAGTCAGCATGTCCACACACTCAATGGCGAAGCTATAGAGGGACAAGGATGGGTGTCCGCTCTTCCCCTCGCCAGAAATTAAGCTTAAGAGTGGTGGTTCCGCCCCTCTGATCCAGTTAGAAGTTATCGCTGCTTGGCCTACTATATGGTTTCTGGGTTCTTGCTGCTGCTGTGCAGCAATATTTTATTTTTATTTTTATTATGAAAAATCCTTAACCAAATGATGCATTTTATTTAGTTGATTAAAAAAATAATTCAAGTGGGGACCACTAGTCCCCCGTTACCTTTGCCTTCACACCATTAAGTACCAGTTTAGTACTGCTTAACTTTTAAAAAAAACAGGTATGAAAAGGGTTTAGGTGAATTTCAAAATTAGTTTTTTTTCATAGTTTTGGGTGAAAAAAACCTAAAAAGGCAAAGCAGCAAAACCTAGCTTTGGAAAACCAGTTTTTTTTTTTTTTTAATTTTTTTTATCACAATACACGGGTGAACAGTGCCATTAAATGAATTTTTCAAAATGGCAACCTTACCCTCTCTTTCTCCTGCATCCCAGTTCTGGACTCCACCCCCTTTTCTCTAGTCGCTCTCTGGCGTCGTACTACCTAGATTCACCACCCCATCCCCTCCATCTCTTCTTACTCCCCATATTCGCCACCCCATCTCTCACCCAATCCCCACCAAATACACCCATCGCCACCTCGCAGACCATGATCCCAACCCACTTCCTGCTAGATGATAACCCAGATCCCACCCACCCACCCATCCACCACCGAACCTTCCAAAACATGTAATGCCATGGAAATTGAAATGCAGGAAATAGTAATGGGAGTGAGGACGAAGGTTACAGATCACCGGAACTGAAAGAGAAATGCAAAGGGATGAAGGTGGGTGAGGACTTTGAAATTTCAGGAGGGATCATTGATGAAAAATGGAAGAAAAGCTAGAAACATTTTGGCAGAATGAAATATAAAGAAAGAAGAATTAAAAAGCTAGAAACAAAGGGAAACAAAGAAGAAAGGAAAAAGGAAACAATCATGAACTTTTTGGCAGAAAGAGAAAGAAATAAAGAAAAAGAAAGGAAGAAAAGCCCATAAGTTTTTTTTTTCTGGTCATTTTACACAATCACAGTTGTTTTACATAAATATTTACCAAACACTAGAACACTACTTTTTTTTTTTATTTATTAAAAGCACTTTTACAATTATCGTTACCAAACACTTTATTGCTTTATTTCACAGCTGCTTATTCTTAAAGCATAACAGAAACAGTTTTTTTTCAAAGCACAACAATACCAAACTAACCCTAAGTTTTTCATTCCTTTTTGAAAATCAATAAAAAAGCATAGATTTTCATGTTTTTTTTTTCTTAATTTCTAAATTTATATCATCATTAACCCTAATTGATCAATTAATACGAAATTTTGTTTAATTAATATAGAATTATAGAGTAATACATTAATATAGTTATTGATTATTGATTATTGATTATAGTTATGAATCCTATGAATGATTATTGATAAATGAAATTATTTTAAAGGTAAAAATTAAATTCTTGATTATTGATTAAGTAATTATTGATATTGATTAATGGAATTGAATTTTGGATTATTGAATAATTTATATGATTATTGGCATTGATAAATTGAATTGTTAGTTTAATTAGTTAGTAGTCATATAATATATTTTACTATAGGATTAAGAGTCTAAGACCGGGAGGAATTAGTGATCTTGCAAAAGAGTTGGTGAAGATCAGGACGTGTGCAAGCTATATGATAGCGTATAAGCTTCTTACATTGGTTTTGGTGTTACTAGTTGCAACCGCTTTGGTGGAGAGAGTTTTTTCTGTTATGAATATTGTGAAAACACCATTGCGTACAAATGAAAGATCAATGGTTGAGTGGTAACGTGCTTGTTTACATTGAGAAAGATGTATTTGCTTTTAGTGATAACGAGTCTATTATGCAACATTTTCTTGACATGAAATCTCGTCGGCAACAATTGAAATTTGTTTGTACTGATAAATTATGGAAAACACTACTATATAAAAATATTAGCTTGTTGCCATTTTTTTGAACCTTGCACTCTTTTAAATTCGCCCATCCCCTGACAGTTCCTAGCTTCGCCACTACGCACACCTATTTGTACATTTCACACACCCTTCTCAATTTTCGAGCGTCGAATCGAATGAATTGAAGAAGATTAATAAACAAAAACTAACAATAGTGCATGAAAAGTAAAAATGAGTGTATGAATAACACTATTCTTTCCATAAAAGATCTTAGAATTTATTATGTATTTGTAAGAGAACTGCAAATTAAGTGATTAACAACGATCACCTCCCCACACAAGTCATCACGTGTTCAATTTTGCTTCTCACTATTGCTAGTATTAAACAAATTTTATCACTCATCAGTAGGATAATACTAAAAAGATTATCTATATAAATTATATTTTATAAATCATCTGACGTGATTGTTGATGATTGAATTATTATTTTAAGCTGGTCTCGCTAACATTATTCATGATATTTACTACTAGTCCAGATCTATGGTTGCCATTTGAGCAATAAAAAATATCTGTGGTTGCCAAGTGGTATTTCTCCGCTGGTTTTTGAGTTCAACAGTCACTTGTCCCGTGGACGCATTACACGTACACTTAAAGCCAAAACAAAGCTTACAACTTTACTTCGTATATACAGTGGAAGTGGATAATCCCATTCATAAACCATCCTCTGAGTTCTAACAAATCAACTGAAATCTCACTTCTTTAACCCCAAATCTTTACAACATGTCGTCTACAGCCGTCCTTGTGATCCCCTGCACAGGTACCAATGCAAATTTGAATATTTTTTTAATGGGTTTCTTAGTTTGATCGGAATTACATGGTTCTGGTAAATGATGGGATTTTTGTGTTGTGGATTTTGCAGCGGCGGTTGCATGGGAGGCAGGGAAGCCGTTGGTGATGGAGAGGGTGGAGGTTGCTCCACCTCAGGCCATGGAAGTTAGGGTCAAGATCAAATATACTTCACTTTGCCACACACACACACATGATTTTATATGATTACGATTTGAAATTTGTAGATTTGTAAAGTACGAGTTTGGTTTTTGAAAAACTTTGTTTTTGTCTACTCACATTTTTTTTTTTGCGCCCCTCTAAGTTTTAATTGCTGAAAGTTCATATCGACGAGGATTCTTGGCAAGTCTCATGATAAGTGGCTTCTTTTGAGGGTATAATCCTTATTCACTCTAGTGTACTTACTTATGCTCTAATGTCACGAGTGAAGTGAGTTCATTCCTGCTCACCGACGCACGCACTCTAGTATTTAGGTACTCTTAGGTTTAAATTTATTCACATTTTTCCACACCATCACATTTTATGGCTTCGTCACCTTCCAAGTGTCGACCAGCACATCTTGATTCAGAGTCTTGGTGGATGTTCTGGGTCGGGGTGTGTCATATAGAGTAATACACTAATATAGTTATTGACTACTGATTATTGATTATGGTTATGAATCCTATGAATCATTATTGATAAATGAAATTGTTTTAAAGGTAAAAATTAAATTCTTGATTATTGATTAAGTAATTATTGATATTGATTAATGGAATTGAATTTTGGATTATTGAATATATATGATTATTGGCATTGATAAATTGAATTGTTAGTTTAATTAGTTAGTAGTCATATAATATATTTTACTATAGGATTAAGAGTCTAAGACCGGGAGGAATTAGTGATTTTGCAAAGGAGTTGGTGAAGATTAGGAGGTGTGGAAGCTATATGATAACGTATAAGCTTCTTACATTGGTTTTGGTGTTACTAGTTGTGTTTGTACCATACTTGACCAATCCCGAAACTACCGAGCACCGGCCAACGCTATACTGTCAAGGACCCAGAAGAGTTCCCCTCCGACCAGGAGGCCAATCACTACTCGACACGTATCAAGATTAGAAGCCAATCAGAGCGCAGCACGTGTCGACATCAAGAACCAATCATAACATGACACATGTCAATGTGACAAAGCTACAAGTTTTTCTATAAATAGGGGTCATTCCCCCACAATATGGCCTAATGCCATTTGTGTTAAATCATTCACAAGAACTCACTAAATTGAGAGCTTGATCCTTTGTACTTGTGTAAGCCCTTCACTACTAATAAGAACTCCTCTACTCCGTGGACGTAGCCAATCTGGGTGAACCACGTACATCCTGTGTTTGCTTCTCTGTCTCTATTCATTTACGTACTTATCCTCACTAGTGACCGAAGCAACCAAGCGAAGGTCACAAAACCTGACACTTTCTGTTGTACCAAAGTCTTTGCTGATTTTGTGCATCAACAAGTTGCAACCGCTTTGGTGGAGAGAGTTTTTTCTGCTATGAATATTGTGAAAAGACCATTGTGTACAAATGAGAGATCAATGGTTGAGTGGTAACATGCTTGTTTACATTAAAAGAGATGTATTTACTTTTATTGATAACGAGTCTATTATGCTACATTTTCATGACAAGAAATCCTGTTGGCAACAATTGAAATTTGTTTGTACTGATAAATTATGGAAGACACTACTATATAAAAATATTAGCTTGTTGCCCTTTTTTTGAACCTTGCACTCTTTTAAATTAGCCCTTCCCCTGACAGTTCCTAGCTTCGCCACTGCACACGCCTATTTGTACATTTCACACACCTTTCTCAATTTTCGAGCGTCAGATCGAATGAATTAAAGAAGATCAATAAACAAAAACCAACAATAGTGCATGAAAAGTAAAAATGAGTGTATGAATAACACTACGCTTTCCATAAAAGATCTTAGAATTTATTATGTATTTGTAAGAGAACTGCAAATTAAGTGATTAACAGCGATCATCTCCCCACGCAAGCCATCACGTGTTCAATTTTGCTTCTCACTATTGCTAGTATTAAACAAATTTTATCACTCATCAGTAGGATAATACTAAAAAGATCATCTATATAAATTATATTTTATAAATCATCTGACGTGATTGTTGATGATTGAATTATTATTTTAAACTGATCTTGCTAACATTATTCATGATATTTACTACTAGTCCAGATCTATGGTTGCCATTTGAGCTCTTTAGATCTAGACCCTTGCAACTCTTATTCCCTAGATAAAAACCCACCTAATTCTAAACATCCAAATAAAACCCAAATTTGAAAAAGATTACCAAGTAAAAAAGTAATTGACCTATTATTACAAAATATTTACAACTTGTGCCACAATATTCAAATCAAATCAATAAATGTTATTACTCACCTTAATTATAATGAACAAATAATTATTGCACATACTATTACCCCTAACATATATAACATTAAATAACATTAATAATGAATCAAATAACATTTTTTTATTTTTGTAGGTAACTTATTGTTCATATATTATTACATATATTTGACACATTTTATTATTATAAGATATGTACAAATAATAGGTAAATTAACTTCGAATCAAATAACCTTGCCTTATTTTGTAAGTAAATTAATTTTGAATCAAATAGCATTCTTTTGTTATGTAGGTATTTTATTTTGTATGTATCAATATCATATATATTTGACACATTTTATTATGTACGTAAATTATTTTGGTTGTATTTTGCATATATTGGGTTTGTTATTATGTAGGTAAATTATTTTTCATGTATTTTACATATCTTGGGTAATTTTTTTTTTTAAGCAATCTAACATTTTAAAAATTTAATAGTAGGTGCACTATTTGAATCAAATGTTTTTATTTTTTGTAGGTCAATTATTTTACATGAATTTTACATATATCAGGCATTTATACACACATATATATATATATATATATATATATATATATTGTAAGACTTCATCCTGTGAAGAACATCAATAGAAATTCCTGTGTAATCTAGAGAGAGAAAGAGAAGAATTTAAGAGAGAGAATTGTATCTGAATTATCCTTTTCATATATGATTGAATGAATCTTACAGTACATAATACAAGTATATATATCTTTGACTTTCCTTACTCACTAAGTATTCTACACTAACTGTTTTAACTATCATAACCACCTTATCCCTTCCTCTTTTGACACTTGTCACAATCTAACAATTCTTTATCTTTACATCCCCCCTCAATCATATGCTTGGAGGAACCAAGCATAAGATTGGAACAATGATGCTGAAACAAGGGTGCAGACAGTCCCTTGGTTAATATATCGGCAAACTGTTCTTTGGATGACACATGAAGCACATGGAGATCGCCTCGAATAACACGTTCCCGCACAAAATGATAATCTATTTCAATGTGTTTCACCCGAGAATGGAAGACATGATTAGAAGATAATGCAATGGCAGAGATGTTGTCACAATAAAGAACCGGTGCAGTGAAAAGAGGAACACACAGATCACATAAAACCTGCCTGATCCATGCTAACTCAGCTGCTGCTATTGCCAACGCTCTATATTCTGCCTCTGTTGATGATCTGGAAACCGTGTGTTGCTTCTTCGATGCCCAAGATATAGGACTCGAACCAAGATAGACAATATGACCAGACGTGGATCTTCGATCATTTGGGTCACCCGCCCAATCGGCATCACTATAAGCCTGTAGTTGAAGCTTGCCTGGTTGAAACTGAAGACCATAATGCATCGTGCCACTGAGATACCTCAAGATGCGCTTGACAGCTACAACATGGGAGTCCATAGGATTATGCATAAACTGGCAACATTGATTTACAGAGAAGGCAATATCAGGCCTTGTAAATGTCAAGTATTGCAAGGCTCCCACAATACTTCGATATTGGTATGGACTGTGATAAGGAGTCCCTTCTGTCTTAGACAACCTGTGATAGGGTAAGCATGGGGTGTTACAAGGTTTGGAATCTTGGAGGTCAACCTTTTCTAGCAGATCCTTGATGTATTTAGTTTGTGACACAAAGAGACCCTGAGGCTGATATGTAATCTGTAACCCCAAGAAATAATGAAGCTGGCCTAAATCTTTCAGGTCAAACTCTTTGGCTAAAGCTTGGATAACATCATCAATCAACTGAGATGAGCTGCCAGTAAGGATGATATCATCCACATACAAAAGAAGAACCACATTACCAAGAGGAGTGTGCTGCACAAACAATGATGGATCAGCCAAAAAAGCTTTAAAACCCAAACCTGGCAAGAAACTTGTAAACTTTTCATTCCAAGCTCGAGGAGCTTGTTTTAAGCCATAGAGTGACTTATGAAGTCTGCACACATAATTGGAGGGATGAACTGAACTTTCAAAGCCTTGTGGTTGAGACATGTAGACTTCTTCATGTAGATCACCATGAAGAAACGCATTCTTCACATCCAGTTGCCTCAAGGACCATTGAAACTGAGCTGCTAATGCCAAAATTAATCGAACAGTGGTAGGTTTCACTACAGGACTGAAGGTCTCACTGTAATCCACACCCTCTTCTTGGCTATAACCTTTTGCAACTAACCGTGCCTTATATCGTGCCACTGAGCCATCAGGATTGGTTTTGATGCGATAGACCCACTTACAGCCGACTAGGTTTTTAGTAGATGGCAAAGGAACTATGGACCAAGTATGCTGAGACTTTAAGGCAGTGATCTCATCTTCCATAGCAGCAACCCATTCTGGAATTTTAATAGCAGACTTGAAAGTAACAGGTTCTGAAACTTGAACAGATGACTGAATTGTTGCTGAAAAGACCTTCTTCTTAGATATTCCACTTTTAGAGCGAGTTTGCATAGGATGCAAACTAACTAAGGGAACTGGAAAGACAACTGACAGATCTTCAGGTTGAAAATCTGGATCATCAGGGAGCAAGAACTGTGTAGAATCTGCAGGTAAGGCAGTGGGTGATGTAAGAGAAGTAGGATATTCCACAAATCCCGAATTAGGAAGTGGTGTGGACAGGGAACACTCTGAGGCAGTAAGAGGGGTAGAAGTTGAACACTCTGAAGCTTGAAGTGGAATAGGTGAAACTACAGTATTATGAGAATTGACCAATGAAGGAAGAACTTGAGGTTGTACTTGTAGTGAAGGGGATGAAATGTGAGATGATGCACTGTTGGATGTAATGATGGAAGAATAAGGAAATGTAGTCTCATCAAATAAAACATGTCTAGACACATAGATTTTGTTGG